CAGCTGAGCTTAGGTCTTTTTGCGTCTTCTCCCTGCCTATGTGAACCACAGCTCTGTACTCTTCCTGCAATGTCTGAATTCTTCCATAGGTCATAAAATTTCCTTTTCCTGCTGAGTCCCAAGAGGAGTTACCTTTTCAGTCAAGCTAGTCTTCTTCCACTCTTGTTTGTTGACAAAATGGGGCTCTGAATCATAGAAACTTAGAATAGTGAAGACTGGAAAACACCACTACGATCCTCAAGTCCAACTGTTAATCTAACACCACCATGTCACCATGTTCACCACTAAACTATGACTCCGAGTCCCATATCCACATGAATTTTGAACATTTCCAAGGATGGTGATTCCACCACTTACTTGGCAGCCTGTTCCAATGCTTGATCCTCCTTCAAACAAAGAAATTCTTCCTATTATCTAATCTAAAGCTCCCCTGGTACAATTCGACACCATTTTCCCTTGTCCTGTCACTTGTTTCTTGGAAGAAGAGACCAATCCCCACCTTACTACAACCTCCTTTCAGGTAGTTGTAGACAGAAATAAGGTCTACTCTGAGCCTCCTCTTCTCCAGGCTAAAACACTCCTAGCTCCCTTAGCCACTCCTCACAGGACTTGTGTTCCAGACCCTTCACCAACCTCGTTGCCCTCCTCTGGACACGCTCCAGCATCTCAATGTCTTTTCTGTAGTGAGTGAGGGGCCCAAAACTGAACACAGAATTCAAGGTGCAATCTCACCTCGGCCCACTGATCAAGCCTGTCGAGATCCCTCTGGAGTGATTTCCTTCTCCCCAGCAGATCAACATTCTCCCACCCAACTTGGTATTGTCTGGAAATTGACTGAGGGGAAACTCAGTCGACCTTTCATCCAGGTCATTGATAAAAATACCTAACAAAACTGGCCCCAACACTAAGTCCTGGGGAACCCCACTGTTGACTAGCCAACAGCCTGATGTATCTCCATTCACCACCACTCTCCAGGCCCTGCTGTGTAGATGGCTTTTTACCCAGTGAAGAGCACACCTGTCCAAGCCATGGGAAGACAGTAGTTTGAATTGCTTCAGGATGAAGGAGGTCTAGAAGACATATTTAACTTCCTAGTACTTCAACCACTACCAGTGCTGCTGCCATTTTTTGAATGCAAAGGGTGGGACACTTCTGTTTCCATCCATTTCTGTTTCCATTCTGTTTCCAGAATGAATGGGGTGAGCAGCATAGACTGTGAATACAGGCATTGTGCAGCCTCTCTGAAATAGGAGAATAAAAGAAACCTTGGATAACTTACTGTCCCCTGTGAGCTGTGCTCCATGTATTGGTGTTAATTGACTGCACTCTAGGGATCTGACTTTCCCCCTATGTTGTATGAGATACACAGAGGACTTGACTTTATGACTCCTTGAACTGAGCAATTAAAGGGAAAAATGGGAGGACAAATATTTCTTTGACAGTCTTCCTTTGGGGGGGGGAATTGGGGTTTTGGGGGGGAATTGGGGTCTCTGAGGGGGGGAATTGGGGTCTTTGGGGGGGAATTGGGGTCTGGGGGGGGGATTGGGGTCTGGGGGGGGGAAATAGGGTTTTTTGGGGGGGATCTGGGGTCTCTGGGGGAAATTGGGGTCTTTGGGGGGGGAATTGGTAATTGGAATCTAGACCTTTGTGTTTCAAAGTAATGTGTACAGGCCTGTCTTTGACAGGGCCAAAAGAAACTAAAGAGGACTCCCAGGTTACACTTTTTTACTGTAATCTGAACAAAGAAATGAAATATCTTGATTAAAATGGTAATTACCACATCATTCTGTCTGTTTAGAAGTCATCTTAAAATTAATAACTTGATTATTAAATATGTAATGGTGAAGAAAGTGTATCTGTGTAAATAAAATAGCACAATGCAAATAACCATAAGTTACAGTCTGTAAATTAAAAAATAAAATTATAGACAGTACACTCTATAAAACACAGTCAGTAAATTTGTTTTACCATTATTATTGTCAGGATAATGTAACAAACAGATGGATGATTTAATATAATTTGGTTAGCTAATTTTAACAGGCTTGGCTACAAGTGTTAACTTATTTTTATATTTGATTTTTACTGTGCTTGCTGTGGCCCAACTTGCACAACAAAAGCTCAAATCTGCACACAAGACAGCTGTTGAGATGCTGTCAAGAGAGTAGCATAAAATCTCAATTCAAAGAATTTATCTCTCTCTCCCCACCAAAAAATATTTGGGCTTGATTTATGTTTTTTTTGTTCAAAGGAATCATTGTAAGCTACCAATTACACTTCTAAAGGCCTAGAATCAAAATTACATGCAAACATACGCATCCAAGAAGGGTACTAGACAAGATGTACTAGTCAGCTGAATCAGCAGGTGCTATCAGATTTTTAAGGACAGGAGGGGGGGGGAAGTAGCCTTCTTTTTGAATGGGTACTAAACCTGCATCATTTTCATGTCAAGTTCAGGACAGTACACTATCTGAAAAAATATGAGTTAGGAAAGAAAGAGCACCACTGCACGACTCATGACAGCAGCCATTCTGCAGTTTCAGTTGAACTATGTGCAACATACGCTGTATTATGTGGGAAGGCTTCATTTTATCAACACTAGTATCTAACTAGTACTTAATTCAGAACCTATTTAGTAGTATCCGCCAAAATTGGTTATTAATTTCAGTTGCCCTATGATCATAATTCTTATTCATAGAAATAGAATGAATCTATAAAGTATTCTGTAATAGCTATTACAACAGCAAGCCACTGGAAAAAGCTCTTTGACTTCCCACAATGATTAGACTCATTACAGCTTATTACTGAAAGAAAGTTTCAGAGAATTTGTGCTGTAAGTAACAGAGCTGCCTAATCCAGAAGATAGGAAGTAGTTATTCATGTTGTCATAACTTGTAGTACTTCAGAGATTTTTGTCATTTTTACTAGGGTCTTAAAGAAATGAAAAACTGAAAATACTGGTGTGAATACATCTATTTGCATCAAGAGATATATGTCTTTTTGAATAAATAGAACCTCCTTTGTCTAGTTCAACCTAAAAAGCAAAACCATGAAAGTATTGATATCATTAATGGAATGTTAGTCTTGCTTTCCTACTGAGCTGTTTGTTTGTTTTTATTTCAGTAGAAAACTTCTATTAAATTTTAGCTGTAAAGAAGTGAGAAAAATGGCTTCATTTAAAAAATATATTTTCTACATGGTTCTTGTTGAGAGTCAGATAGAAGACAAGGTATCCATGGAATGGATATGCATGGAATAGATTTGCAAACCTCCTTAGAGCATAGTTAGGAGATTATTTGCTTGCTCTTTTCTAGCAGTTTCTCTTAAGAATTGTCACTAACACTATCTGGGAGTCATTGCAATAATAATTTCCATTAGTGAATAAAAGGCAGTAAATATTTAACTTGTAAAATTTTTTGAAACCTTCAGCATGTTAATGAAATGTTGGGGTTTTTTTCCCATGAAGAAGAAGTAAAAAATATCTGATATTGTCTGTATTAATATATTTATTGTATTTCCTGGAGGTATGACTATGTGTTTTGTTCGGCACTGTACTGAAAGAATAGCAACCTTCTTCCTTTCACTATGAAAATCTAACTAGAATGACAGCAAGACCGGTGTTACGGGCTGAACAAACGTGCAACTAAATTGTTCCATATTAAAAGTAAGAAAATGCACACAGGGGAACAAAGTCTTGTGGTTCTTAAAAATGAAACTGCATTAAAAATACCTGGAAAACAGGTGAAGAGGGAAACTGCTTAATGTGATGAGAAAGTTAACTGCAAAAATGCCTGTCAAATACCTACAGGAATGACAATACTGCATTTGTCAAGGCAATAAATCTGTCCTTTCTGTGATCAAGAAGAGTTTGTCATCTCATGTCATCATGGCTAGGCTTCGCGAACGAAGATTTAGGAAGGGCTCTACCCACTTGTGTTGCAAGCGCGTTGGTGGCTGAAAAGGCCAATATGAGATAGCCATGTCGGGTTGCAAAAGGCACAGCAGAAAGACTCCTTAGATGGTATATTCTGCAAGACACGATTCTTTCTGCGTTGCCTTTTCTCCTCAAGAGTGATCCTGCGTGCGTTCTCAAAGGAAACAGCAGCGTTATAGATGGTGTGTCTCCAGGTCTCCCAGTTGGAGGCCAGAGTTGTGGTGGTCAATACGGCCAAGGCTGAGTTGTTGTTTCAGGGAGTCCTTGTATCTTCTCTTCGGGGCTCCTCTCATGCGGCAGCCAGTGGCAAGTTCTCCATAAAGCAGGATCTTAGGGAGGCGGTGGTCCTTCATCCTTGAGACATGCCCTGCCCAAGGCAGCTGTGTTCTCAGCAACATGGCCTCAATACTTGTGACTGCTGCTTGTTCTAAAACAGATGTATTGGTCACATAATCTGACCAGTGGATGTTTAGGATTGTACGGAGGCAGCGTTGATGGAAGCGTTCTAGGAGACGCAGGTGGTGGTGGTAGATGACCCATGATTCAGATCTGTATAAGAGAGTAGACAGCACTATGGCTCTGTAAACACTGATCTTTGTACTTTTCTTCAGGTGTTTATTTCACCAAACTCTTTTATGAAGCTTTCCAAAGCACTATATGCTTTTGCTAACCTGTTGTCTATCTCTCCGTCAATCTTACCATCCGAGGAGATGAGGCTACCTAGGTAATTAAACTGCTGGACTGATTTAAGCTCTGACTGGTCAATGGTGATGTGGGGATGATGGGGGACATCCTGAGGTGCAGGTTGATGGAGAACTTCTGTCTTCTTTAAGCTGACTTCCAACCCAAAGAGCTCAGCAGCTTCTGCAAAGCAAGATGTTAAGCGCTGCGGAGCTGCTTCTGTGTGGGCAACAAGGGCAGTGTCATCAGCATAAAGCAGCTCCCAGACAAGATGGTTTAAGGTCTTGGTATGGACCTTCAGTTGCCTTAGGTTGAATAGGCTTCCATCAGTACGGTATCGAATGTAGATACCGTCCTGATCCTCGAGGTCTGCCGTGGCCCTTTGGAGCATCATGCTGAAAAAGACTGTGAATAGGGTTGGAGCGAGAACGCAGCCTTGTTTCACACCATTCTTTATTAGAAAGGACTCAGAAAGTGTGTTGCCATATCTGACTTGGCCATGCTGATCCTCATGGAGTGAGATGATCATTTTAAGGAATTTAGGGGGACAACCTAAATCTGTTCCAAAATCTGCCACAGACCTTTTCTGCTCACAGTATCGAAAGCCTTGGTGATGTCGACGAAGGTTACATAGAGATCTTTGTTCTGTTCCCTACACTTCTCTTGCAGTTGACTGAGGACAAATACCATGTCTGTGGTACTCCTGTTGGCTCTGAAACCACACTGGCTTTCAGGTAGAATTTCTTCTGCTATAGCGGGTATTAGTCTGTTCAAGAGTATTCTTGCCAGGATTTTGCCAGCAATGGAGAGCAGAGTAATACCACGATAATTTGAGCAATCTGATTTAATTCCTTTCTTCTTATACAGAGTGATGATTACTGCATCTCGAAGGTCTGATGGGAGTTCGCCTAGTTCCCAACAGTGCACCACAGACTTGTGAAATTTGGTATGGAGTGCAAGGCCCCCATGTTTCCAGACTTCAGGTGGAATTCCATCAACCCCAGCTGCCTTGCTGATTTTTACCTGCTGTATGGCCTTGAGAGTTTCTCCTAAAGTGGGGGCAGTATCCAATTCATACTTCACAGGTTGTTGCGTGATGGACTGAATTGCTGAGTCTTGGGCTACCATTATCATTGCAGTTTCCAACACCATGCTTGCCTAATACTCCTTTCCATGCTTCAAAATTCTTACCTACTCTGGCATTGAAATCACCAAGGATAATGATCTTATCATCTGCAGGTACCTTTTGGGTTAGGCGGTGCAGTTCACTGTAGAATTTATCTTTTTCGGCAGGGTCAGCTTGGAGAGTTGGGGCATATATGCTAAAGATGACAACATGTTGGTTGTTGTTTAGTGGAAGGTGTAGGGAGATAATGCGATCACAGTGACCTGTCGGCAGATTTTCGAGTTTGGAAAGAATAGAGATTTTGATCATGAAGCCGACACCCGAGAGATGTTTTTCAGTTCTGGGTTTACCTGACCAAAAGAGTGTTTAAGCAGCACCATCTTCTCTCAGGCTTCCTTCCTCGTGAAGGCGAACTTCACTGAGAGCG